GGACATTCTGGCATTGGACTAATGGCTTATACATGTTCTGAACATAATGTTTGAAAATGGGCTGGGAGAGCAAATGTGGATGTGTTGTTGAAGGACTTTTAGAGCTAGTAGGCATGGCCATTAAGAAGCAAGAGCACTGATATGCTGTAAACCAAAATCATTGTGATTTTGCTTTACTTCTAGGTATATCATATAGTAACTAACCATTTTTGCATCACTTTTATTACCTCACATTGCTTTGAAGTGTCAGTTTTGATGGTGATGCAACCACCTGCCAGCCTAGTGGTAGTGCTGGTCAGCATGCTCTGAATTGTCTGCTGGTCCAAAGGCAATGACAGCCAGTGAGCCAGGCTTCATAGTGTCTGTGACAGGCCAGATTGAGTCAGCAAGCCTGGCTGACTTTGATGATGTCTACTGCCGCTACTCCTTCCAACATGGCCCCGACTGGGAGATGGTGGCAGTGCATGCAGATGCTCGTTGCGTTCTATGTCTCAGCCAATAGTGAACACGGCTTTGGATTTTTCCCTGGATTTATGCTGATGCACATTTTGAGTGTTACAAAGCATTGGTATAGATTTTACCACGTCGTAAATCACTTTTCATGTACCTTGGGATTGTGTTGTAATGTTGACCACTGCATGAGCTCCATATGAATGAACTCCCAATGTTTTATCTGAGCAGATTTCTGAGATTACAGCCCACGCTTATCATGACTCAAATGATCCCTAATCCCACTACCGATCGTGAAATTTCAGTTGAATGGCACAATCTGTGTGACGAAAGTTTGACGTGCCGACATGCACTCTGAAGTGAGCGGAACAGCGGAGTTCGGGATCAGCGCTGTGTCCCGTCGTCATCGTGTCCGTGTCCGTGTCCGTGCCCCGTGTCCGCACGAGTCGGCCCCCCGCTGACGACAGCCGCTCCGCCGCCAGGGTCTGCACGAGGGTATCTCGCAGATCAGCAAGCGCAGCCAGGACGAGCGCCAGCTACTGGTCTGGAACCTGCCCGTCGAAGTGTCGTTCAAGTCCACCAACCCGCACGGCTGTGAGTTGGGCGCCGGCAGCCCGCCACCCGCCTGCTGGCTCGTCCGCCCGCTCGCTCGCCCGCCCGCTCGCTCGCCCGTCCGCTCGCTCGCCCTCGCTCCCGTCCCCTCGCCACTCACGCCCCGCCCCGCCGCCTGCCCCCCGCCTGCCCCACCGCCGCCCCGCCGCCCCGCCGCCCCGCCGCCCCCCGCCCGTCTTCGCGCACGCTTGCCGAACGGGCCGCGCCAGCACCAGGGATGCGTGCGCGTCGGGGACGGCAAGGGCGTCTCATGTTTTGGGGACTGGTCATGCCGTGACAAAAGTTTGTATGTGGGGAGGGGGGGGGGGATCGTACAGGCAGTGGTCCACGGGGCGCCGAAGTCGAATTATCGGGATGTGGCGTGTGCCGCATTTGGCCGCTCCGGGTCTGGCAAAAACAGATAAGACAGTTTTATCGGCCCTTTCGTCGTACGAATGCGAGGAAATGGAGATTGACGTATTGCTATTTTGGCTACGTGCCTTATTCGTTTTGATAAGGGCATGTGGCCGAAAGATCAATCCATCTTTTTCTCCATCTCCATGGCTTTCCTACAAAGAATAAGACTATTAGTACTGCCTTAGTATCATGCGTAATGTTTCGTCGCGAATGCACTAAACAACTCATGTGGTCTCGCGAAAATGTTTTGTTGGTATGATACCTGCATTTTCAAAAACAACTGGCGAGTGTGTGCGGTGCCGTCACCGAGTTAACGACGCAAACGCTCGTCCCATGCCCTTCTGCCTAGTTTAAAGTTAATGTAACACACCACGTCCGTGTAATGTTTGCAAAATGAGGTGTGCGTGGTAAATATTTTACAGCAATATTTCGTGAAAGAAACAGCAACGTATGATAAGCCGTAGCAAACGCACGTTGCAAATTCGTCTTGCAGGGCCGCAGCTGATCGTCAGCTGTTACGGGCCGGACCTGTTCGGCAATGACGTCATTCGTGGCTACGGCGTGTGTCACGTGCCGGTCTGCTCGGGCAGCCACCGGGTCAGGTGAGGGCCGCCGCCGGCGCGCCCCGCCGTCCTACTCACCGCTCGCCGAGGGTCCCCACCTGCTCACGCGATGCGCGCGCGCCCAACCATTCTGAGGTGTCGTTTATGTACGATATGGAATTTGCACTTGGAGTGGGCAGTCTTGCATTTCGAGGTGGTGATTTCATTAGTTGTGTTGTTTACATAAATTTAACATAGCGGGGAATTTCTGAGTAGTCGCGACTTGTCTCTCTTTCGTTGGCAACTACCTGGTTGGCTGTCAGTCGTTGATGATTGGTATTCCATGACGCTTTGCCTGCTAAGCCTGTTAAGCGCCGACACTGGGCGTCGACCGTAACCTCGTAGATTCGGCCTGCTCCGCGCATGACGTTCCGGCCGGGAGCCATGTGGCGTCTGTGTGCGCCGAAGGTGGCCGTGTGAACGGTGCTGGTGTGTTTCTGGGGCAGCCGTGCAGCCAGCGGCGGCCACAGCCCCGGCCATCGCTGCGGCAGGTGTTAGGTTACACAG